TGGATGGGCAGGGGTCTTGTGCAAAATGGCTGCTGCTTGCAGCCAGCCATGGGGAGAGCCCTGGCATTGGAGGAGTGGCCCAGGGGTTTGGATGCCAACAAGGGACGCTGAAAAAAAATCTTGCTTGGATCCCTCGCTCTGCCACCAGTCCCAGCAAGGGACAGGAACTGGAGAAGGTTTGCAACTTTTCTGAGCTTAGAAACCCAGCACTGGCACATGCAGGGTTCTCCAGGAAGGGAGCCAAGCCCAAGATGGGTGAAAGGGGTGTTGTTGGTGTAACAGCCACATAGTGGATTTGAACTGGGGACTTCTGGAGCTTAGTACAGGAGCCTCTACAGCCTGAGCAGAAAGCCAGCTGGTGCATGCCTTGGATTGCAGCATGTAGAGCTCCCTTGCTCTTCTCTCTGGCTGTAAGTGGTCCAAGTGCCACCACATTACATCGGCACATGTTGTTTGCTTCCACCCAGCCATCCGGCTCTCTCGGGACTACAGGTTGAACCTCTCTCATCCGGCGCCCTTGGAACCAGCCCGGTGCCGAACCAGAGAATTTGCCGGATCAGGGAGGTCAATATTGTCGGGCAGCATTACCTGCACTTCCACTCGCTGGGCTCTGATAAGACATTAGGGCTATGTCTACCCTGGCAGCTTCCTTCGCAAGAACTGTTTTGCGGAAGAGTTCTTGCGCAAAAAGTCTTCCACAGGAGCGCGTCCGCACTGGCATGTGTTTTTGCTCAAGAGATGTGCTTTTGCGCAAGAGAGTCTAAGGCAGTGTGGACGGTCTCTTGCACAAGAAAGCTCTGATGGCCATTTTAGCCATAAGGTTTCTTAGAATCATAGAATCATAGGACTGGAAGGGACCTCAAGAGGTCATCGAGTCCAGCCCCCCGCCCTCAAGGCAGGACCAAGCTCCATCTACACCATCCCTGACAGATGTCTATCTAACCTGTTCTTAAATATCTCCAGAGAGGGAGATTCCACCACCTCCCTTGGCAATTTATTCCAATATTTGACCACCCTGACAGTTAGGAATTTTTTCCTAATGTCCAATCTAAACCTCCCCTGCTGCACTTTAAGCCCATTACTCCTTGTCCTGTCCTCAGAAACCAAGAGAAACAAATTTTCTCCTTCCTCCTTGTGACACCCTTTTAGATATTTGAAAACCACTATCATGTCCCCCCTTAATCTTCGTTTTTCCAAACTAAACAAGCCCAGTTCATGAAGCCTGGCTTCATAGGCTTCTCTAGACCTTTAATCATTCTTGTCGCTCTTCTCTGTACCCTTTCCAATTTCTCCACATCTTTCTTGAAATGTGGCGCCCAGAACTGGACACAGTACTCCAGCTGAGGCCTAACTAGCGCAGAGTAGAGCGGCAGAATGACTTCACGAGTTTTGCTTACAACACACCTGTTAATACAACCTAGAATCATATTTGCTTTTTTGGCAACAGCATCACACTGTTGACTCATATTCAACTTGTGGTCCACTATGACCCCTAGATCCCTTTCCGCCATGCTCCTTCCTAGACAGTCGCTTCCCATCTTGTATGTATGGAACTGATTGTTCCTTCCTAAGTGGAGCACTCTGCATTTCTCCTTATTAAACCTCATCCTGTTTACCTCTGACCATTTCTCTAACTTGCTAAGGTCATTTTGAATTATGTCCCTATCCTCCAAAGAAGTTGCAACCCCACCCAGTTTGGTATCATCCGCAAACTTAATAAGCGTACTCTCTATCCCAATATCTACATCATTGATGAAGATATTGAACAGTACGGGTCCCAAAACAGACCCTTGAGGAACTCCACTTGTTATCCCTTTCCAGCAGGATTTAGAACCGTTAACAACAACTCTCTGACTACGGTTATCCAGCCAATTATGCACCCACCTTATCGTGGCCCTATCTAAGTTATATTTGCCTAGTTTATCAATAAGAATATCATGCGAGACCGTATCAAATGCCTTACTAAAGTCTAGGTATATGACATCCACCGCTTCTCCCTTATCCACAAGGCTCGTTATCCTATCAAAGAAAGCTATCAGATTAGTTTGGCATGACTTGTTCTTCACAAACCCATGCTGGCTATTCCCTATCACTTTATTACCTTCCAAGTGTTTGCATATGATTTCCTTAATTACCTGCTCCATTATCTTCCCTGGGACAGACGTTAAACTGACCGGTCTATAATTTCCTGGGTTGTTCTTATTCCCCTTTTTATAGATGGGCACAATATTTGCCCTTTTCCAGTCTTCTGGAATCTCCCCTGTCTGCCATGATTTTTCAAAGATCATAGCTAAAGGCTCAGATACCTCCTCTATCAGCTCCTTGAGTATCCTGGGATGCATTTCATCAGGACCTGGTGACTTGCTGACATCTAACTTTCCTAAGTGATTATAGGGGTCGATGAGAGCTAAATCACAGCCTGGAACAGAGGGCCAGGCCTGGGGGCTGTAAACAAACTTTATAGGACTGCAGGAAACTTGGCCACACCTCTGATAAGAGGACGTCCGGCTAACTCAAAGCATGCCTGACCACGGATGTTGCCGGGCTGAAGAGTGCCGGATTAGAGAGGTTCCACCTCTAATGACCTGTCTCCTCCATTATTTGCCACTCCCCCGATCTTCGCGCCATCAGCAAACTCTGTAAGTGATGGCCAATGGCCCCTCTCATCTCTTCCATCCATGTGCAGATTTTTTCCATTCCCATGTGGAATAAATGTTGATGCGCACCAAGGTGCGTGCGAATGTGCACCACCAGTAAAAACCAAAAGCTGAGCTGCGGGCACTCTGCTAATCAGCTGGGCTATGTTGGAATCTCTCCAAATGCTGTGGTGATGACTCCGTGATCTTCCAGGCCATTGGAGAAAATGTTACCGAGCCTTTATTTCCCTTTGCAGGCCGGGTGTTTAACGGTTCTGCAAAACCCATCGACAAAGGCCCAGCTGTGATGGCCGAGGATTTTCTCGATATTAACGGTAAGCTCCTTGCAACGGATTAAGATGGTAACAGATGTTGAGCTCATGATCTAAGGGGCCAGGACCGTGTCTTCCCATGTGGTGCAATAACAGCCAGTGGCCCTTTTAGCGTCACTCACAGCAGGAGAATAAGTCTGTCCGTGGCTATTAGACAAGGCGGGCAGGGATCGATGCTCCCTCTAATATTTTTCATCCATGTGCGGAATAAATGTTGTCACATGCACCAAGGCATCTGCAAATGTGCACCACCAGTAGGAACACACACCTAGCTGGGGGCGCTCTGCTAATCAGCTGGGCGGCATTTGAATCACTTTGAAGAGACCGCACAAGCGCCCGGCGTGCAGGGAACACTGGCAGGGACTCCGCCCCAAATCCGGTGTCTGTAAACCTCTGACTGCAGCCAGTGGGAACCGGCGACAGGGGAGGGACCGCCCGATAGTTGCCCTGTTCTGTTCGTTGCCTCGGCTGCACCTGGTTTGTTCCTATGAGTAGCCCAGCAAGCCGGGCCGTGCACCCCTGCATTTAAAAGTGACCCTACAATAACAAACCAGGGTCCGTGAGCATCTTTGCAATCGCCCCTCCTCCTTTCCTGTTTCAGGGCAGCCCATCAACCCTCACGGGCGCATATACCCCGAGGAGATGATCCAGACGGGCATCTCGCCCATCGACGTCATGAACAGCATCGCCAGGGGGCAGAAGATCCCCATCTTCTCCGCGGCCGGGCTCCCTCACAACGAGGTAGGCCCTCCCTCCAGCCCGCCCTGGCCCCCCGGCACCGGGGGTGGCCAGGGCATGGGGGCGCCTGGAGAAGCGGGGAGCCGTTGCTGCTGGAGAGGTGCTGGAGCTTGGGCCCGTGGGGCACTGCAAGCGCTGGGACCAGCAGGCCCGGTTGCCATGGGCGTTTCCTGGGGGGCGGGTAATGCTGGCTGTTGTTTGAACCCCCTGTTCCTAGCTGGCCCAGTTTGCCATTCCCAACAGCTGCCCCGCAACGGCTGGCTGGGGGGCGTCCCGGGGGAGCCGCCCCTCAGGGCCTCTTTGCCAGCAGACCAGCCCAAGAACCCCCCGGCACCCCCAAATCCTGAAGCAGGGAAGCCGCAGCCAGGGTGGGCCTAGGAGAGGGCACCAGGCCCTAGAGAAGGTCTCTCTGCATCAGAGCAGAGACCCACACGGCCTAGGTCAGCTCATGCAAAACGTGTGGGCTTGCCCCAAAGCGCTGCTCCATACACCCCTCGGCCTCCTGCACCCCTCCGTCTCGGCCCAGGGTGTCACAGGATGGTCTGGACCCGAGGGGATCCCCACTCTTGTGCTGGTGGTGGGGCCCGCCGGACAGGAACAGCACCCCTGGCTCTGGGTGGGGCAAGCAGGCAGCTTCCATGACCGGGGAGGTCGATTCATTGCCCGCTTCTGGTGAGAAGCCCCCCCGCTGTCGTGCACTCGCTCATCGCTCTGCGGGGGGGCGTGCCAGCCCCACACGAAGGCCCAGGCCGGGGAACAGAGGGGGCTAGGCTGGGCCGGGCAAATGCCATCCCTCAGGCACTGCTGAGCAGAACATGGGTGAGGGCACCAGAGTCACTGGCCCCGGCCCTGAGTCTCTAGGGTTTGGGGCAAAGAACTGTAATGAACCAGCTGCCAGGCCCCAGACGGAGGCATCGGGACCCATTCAGGTAGTGCAGGACATAGCGGAGTCCCGGAGAGACCCTTCTGTTCAAACCGTGGAGCCCAACCTCGGCCCTCACCGCAATCTCCCCCAACCCGGCCTCCCGAGTCCCAAGCTAGCAGCCGTCCCCTCGTGCGTCCCTCCGCGACCAGCCCCACACCGGGAATAAAGCCACGCCCTGGGACCCAGCTGCGCAGCTGCACCCCGCAAATAAGAAACAACCGAACCTCACAACAAACGTTTTGTAGGCATCACACTGGCTGAAGTGTTCAGCGAGTCTTTAGGGAGAACTGGGGGGGGGTTGCAGGAATCATTCCCCAAACAGCATAGGGGAATGAGTTCATCGTGACTAACCTCGGAAATGGACACTTTGTCCAGCTATGAAAGCATACAGTGTTTTCCTAAGGGAAGGCCTGTGTGGGCAAGGCACACCAGGAATCGTGGATTCGGTGTCCTACTCTCTTGACACTGTTTCCAAGAAAGCTACAGCTCTGTGCCTCAGTTTCCCCAACTATAAAACGGGGAGAGTGCGGCCACATCTCCCTTCATGAAACACTTTGAGATGATGGTAATAATATATGAAAATGGAAGAAAGGTGAAGCTGACAGCAATCAGTATCAGTCAGAAGCTAGGAATTATAGAAAATTGATAAGGGAGGCAAAAGAGCACATGAAAAAAATCGACGGCCAGCAGAGTTAAGAATTGTAAGAATGAGGTTTTGAAGTATATTAAGAACAATAAGACTTCTGACAGTGGCACTAGTCCATTACTGGATGGTAAAATGAGATTTATTAATAATAATGCAGAAAAGTGACCAAAATATTTCTGTTCTGTATTTAGGAAAACCAGATTGTATAATCATATTATATTATATGATTACACAATTATATGGTGATGATCTTCCAGTCTACTGGGAAGTCAGGGGGCTGTTAAGCAGATGCGTCTAAAGTCAGACACTTTGAAATCAGAAGCTCAGACCTCTTTGCATCCAAGAGTTTTAAAAGAGCTGGCTGAGGAAAGCATTGTCCCATTAGCGCTGATTTTCAATGTACACTGGGACAGTGGGGCAGATCCAAAAGCTAGCCCTGGAAAGGAGTTCCCCAGGTGGGCTGTGCGCTGCATGAAGAAATTCTTCCTTTGGTTTGCTTTCAACCTGCTGCCTAATCATTTCCTTAGGTGACCTCTGATTCATGCAAGTAGATACCTTTAGGGGAAAGTAGTTTGCTCGCAGGACGGGGGCTCTGGAAGCGGCAGCGACGCTGAAAGAGCTGTGGGGGTCATGGTGAAGAACCAGCTGCACACGAGCTCCCGGTACGGTGCTGGGGCCAAAGGGGCTGGCGTGATCCTTGGGATCTAGAATAGGAGCAGTGAGGTTATTTTACCTCTGGGGTGACCGTGCTGGGATCCTGTGCCTGGGTCTGGGGCCTCCCATTCTAGGATGCTGATAATTTCGAGAGGGGTCAGAGAAGAGCCAGGAGAAGGAGGAGGAAGCCTGCCCACTGGACTCAAGGAGCGTACCAAGGAGCCGGCTCAGGGGCACTGGATCACTGTCTATCAGCATGTGCCTGGGGACAGATATTTAACAGCTCTGCAGCCCAGCGTACCAGGGTGTGGCCGGATCCAGGGGCTGGGAGTTGAGGCTAGACAGCATCAGATTGGGAAAGCCATGAACATTTTCAATAGGGAGAGTGGTCGGAACAATTTGCCGGGGGCTGTGCCAAGGTCCCTGGGGCGGAGCACTGGATCACTGTCTATCAGCATGTGCCTGGGGACAGATATTTAACAGCTCTGCAGCCCAGCGTACCAGGGTGTGGCCGGATCCAGGGGCTGGGAGTTGAGGCTAGACAGCATCAGATTGGGAAAGCCATGAACATTTTCAATAGGGAGAGTGGTCGGAACAATTTGCCGGGGGCTGTGCCAAGGTCCCTGGGGCGGACACTTTTTCAGCCCCGGAGGCCAGCTCTGTTCCAGGGCGTGTCGGGGGCAGGTCTCCAGCCTGGGCAAACGGACAGGTCTGCCCCGGTGGTGTGTGGCGAGCCCGGCAAGACTACCCCAGCC